TCACATTTCTCGTATTAAAACAAAAGAGAAAAGACTCCCACTGAAGAAACTGGAAAAAGAGCACATCCATTCTGGACAAACATGAAAGTATGACAAAGGGTTGAAAAAGGAGTCTTCATACAGTATCAGCTTAAATCCACTCAGCTGTCAGGTCATATTTCAACCTCATAGTAAAATATTAAGCAGACATATTTGACTGCTTTGCAAACCTAACTTCCTTTTCTTCCTTTGGAAAATTAGTACTAGAAATTCACTTCAGCTAAAACATTGTCAGACTAGCTTCTGATTTATTACATAATTGTTGCTGCTGTCAATTTTTTTTAAAAAAATAAATACCTTTATGAGCTAGAATCCTAGCATGTTTTCCACAGAATCACTATCACTGAACATAACAGGAGTGATTTTTTAACAAAATAATTTTTGTTACCCATGAAATTGATGGAATATTTCAAGATTTTCTTACCTAAACTATCTGTATTTTAAATTGTTAATTTCATATCAAAATATTTAATGATTTTGGTTTAAATGGCCAGGAAAAAGAAAAAAGTTGTTTAAAAATTATTGTATTAATGAAAGAAGATATGTTATATTGGGAAATGCAATACAACAATTGTTCATTGAAAACCTTGATGAAAGGGAAAAAAGAGGTTCACTGATGAACAATGTGCCTTTCTAGTAGTAATTGAGATCTCTAATGTCTTATACCGATTCTTGATCCATTAGCAGCTGCATGCCCAACTGATGTACACTATCAACAAATGTCATTTTGAATGGCTGCTTTGATAATAATATTAAGGAAAAGAAAATCATGGCCAAAGTGAATTACGGTGTTTTCATTTCTAGTTTCTAAATAGCAGTACTTGCTTGCCAAAATATAATCTAATTTTCCTAATGAAGCTTTTATGGCTAGCCTTTAGGCAGGAATCAGGGAAGATAAGGTCTTCATAGCTAGGATAATATAGGGTAGGTATTAAAAAATAATTATTAGTACCCATAAAGAATAATTCAAGAAAGTTCAGAATATTTAACTACACAGAAGCTCTTATCATTTCTGGTATCTATTATCAAATTTGTGATCATTAACTTGAAACAACTGAAACCACCTGAAGGTGATGTATCTATCTCATCGCTTCCTGAATTCTGGATAATTTGTTTCTAGAATACAACCACAGTGGCAATATCAACTATAGATAAATATGATATTAATCTAATTGTTTATTTTTCCTGAAGCCCAGAATGTGAACCTTGTCCCTTATTTAAAACTGAGATCAAATGCTTTTAGCACTCCTAGGTTCTTTCCCTACCTGTTCCCCATCTCTCTGTAGATGCTTGAAAACCATATTTTCTAAATCTGATATGTTAATTACTTGATATCTGGAGAATATATAATTAACATAAATACAAAATATCTTATAAATGAAAGCATGCTTCTATTTAAACTTTGTTATTTGATAAATCAAGATTTCATAGCAAAACAACACAAAAATCAGAACACTAAAAAAAATCCATGGTAAAGTGACATGATCTGTGGAAAGTATAAGGTTCTCTGATAATTCAGGATAGTTTTTTTTTAAATGGTCATTCAACCTGAGGGTATATTTTATTGTCGGTTAAAAATCAAGATCAGGGATACCCAACCAATGGCATCCAAGGATTTGGATTCAGAGACAGAGTCTCTCCAAAATCTGTGATTTATTAATGTAACAAAGGGGAAAATTTATTAAATGCATCAATATTAATTATGTAAATTAACTAAAGCAATTTAATTTTAAAGTGAAAAATCAAACTTTATTTTGTCATACTTCTAGGTTTTGCAGTATATACTTTAATAGGCCACTCACTTGTTGCCAAAATGTAACAAACCTGTTTTATACATTTTCTAGAATCATAGTCTAGAAACGGCATACAATATTTATGCTGCACTGTGCACAAGATCAATTATGTGTAAAATTTATTTCACCTGTCAGGCATAAAAAGACTATTTTAACTTGGTGTATAGTTGCACTGGTGGATCCCACACTTGGCTGGCTAGAATGAACTATCTCAGATAGGATTCATTCATTTTCTTTTGAATTAAAATTGCGCCTTCTGTACAGTTATGTTCCAAGATTTTTCAAGAGCCCTACCTGAAAAGTATGTAAACTGTGGCTAACGGTGAACTATGGTTTAAGTAAACACATGCTCAACATGATACACTCAAGAACAGCAAATGTAGGATCAGTAAGAAACCGTTCTTCTCAATTTATGTATTTGAAAATAATACAGCTTGTTTGAACAGTGGGGAATAATGTCAAACCATATACCATACCTATTATTTTGCAATATATAAGTAATGATAATGATAACTATTGGCATAGTTAATTTTGTTCACAATATTAAAAAGGTGTTAAGACTCTAGAAAGAGTGTAGAGAAGAGCAATACAGATAAGGTGACTGAAAACTAAAACATAAGAACAATTGCAGAAATTGGTATATCTAGTTTAACAAAAGGGACTAGGGGTGATGTTATAGCAGTGTTCCAGTGTCTAAGGGCTGCCACAAAGAAGGTGTTCAACCTATTCTCCAAAGCACCTGAAGGCAGAATAAACAATGGATGGAAACTAATCAAGGAGAGAAGCAACCTAGAACCTAGAAGGAGAAATTTCCTGATAATTAGAACGATTAATCAGTGGAATGACTTGCCTCCAGAAGTTTGTGAATGCTCCAACACTGGAGATTTTTAAGAAGAGATCGGACAACCATTTGTCTGAGATGGTACAAGGTTACTGCTTAAGCAGGGGGTTGGTCGAGAACAGTGGTCACCAACCAGTGGGCCAGGGACCACTGGTGGTCTGCGAGAAAATTTTGGTGGTCCGCAGAGAAATGTCACCTCCAAAACACCCCCCAAAGCAATTAATTCAGGCTGCGCGGGAACACAAGGCTTGCGTCTCTTGCATTGCGAACAACACGATGTAGTGAGGGGAAGGGGAAAGGGCAGGGGGGAACTTGCCCCACTAGTCCCATGGACCTGACCTGGCCACCGGGCTACTTTTTTCTGCTTCTTTCTTCTTCTGCTTTTGGCTACATGCAAGGAAAGGAGCAAAAGTCTTTCTTTCTCTCCCACAAACTCCACCAGAAATGAGTCTTTGGGACTCTGCAAGGCATCCTGTTCCAAAGGCTGCACCGGCAGGATAAGTCTCACAAAGACTCATTTCTGGTGGAATTTGGGGGAGAGAAAGAAAGTTCTGCTGCTTTCCTTGCATGAAGCCAAAAGTCCCCCCCCCCCCCCCCCCCAAGAACAGAGCTGGAGATGGTATTGTGTGATCCCAAATAAAGAATGATCGACCGGTAGGAAAACGGGGTGGCGAATTTTCCTGCAGACTTTTTGGGGGGATTTTCCCAGGGTCTCTGGTCCACAGGATTTAAAATTATGAGTTTGGTGGTCCCTGAGGTCCAGAAGGTTACGACCCCTGAACTAGAAGACCCCCCCAAGGCCTTTCCAACTGTTATTCTTTATTCTGTTATGTAACATTAATACTGATAATCAAATTATTAATAATCTGAAATTCAGTATTGCAGCCTCAGAACACATACTCAAGCATATTTGCTCAAAAGTAAGTATGGCTCTCTTGAATGGGTCTTATGCCTAGTAAGAGCATTCAGGGATGTAGATTCCCTTGGTGTAAGTAAAATTAAAAACAGTGGGATTAATTGCCAGAATATATTCTGTCCTGGAGATGGTTATCTGCATCTCAGAGTTGCATCTCCATTTTTCCCATACACTTTAAGGGACGTTAAACCTCGCTTGTTCCAAAACGAGATGGATCCTTTTAGGTGTAAACACTTTCAAGGTGGCAAACTTCTCTCCTTCCCCCTCCCCCCCCTCCAGTGAAAACGTCTCCGTAAACCTTGGTCAGCTGTACAGTTCGCTGGCTCAGAAATTCCCACTATATTCACTATATTCCTCTCGCCAGGTGCAACCTTTCAATCTGTGTCCCCAGCAGGCCCTCCCTCCTTTCAAAAGAGAGCCCTCTCCGTCGACTCTGCAAGGCTTTTTCTCCATCACCTGAATTTGCTGAGCCCGCCCCCCTTTCTGACATTCCTTTCAACCCCCCCACCCTCTCCCAACCCTGACCCAGTCTTCTTCCCTTCAATCTCGATCCACGCAACCTAGACTAATATTTCTTCCCCGCCTGAGGGAAGGGGGGGGGGGCGGAGAAGAAGACAAGGTAGGTTACAGTGCTGCGCTTGATGCAATGAAACGTCTCTTTCCGACTCGTCCTTACCGATGCTGACAGCGCGGAGTTCGGCTCCCACATTGACCGAGACCAAACCTCCGATCTGCTCCGTGCTTGCCCCCCCCAAAAAAACTCCGCGATGGCGTGGATTAGACTTGGCGGAGCCGCCTGCCAGACAGACAGGCACTCGGAGAGGCGCGGGGTGGAGTGGGGGGGGGCGGCGGATGGTAGGGCTGAATAGAGTTGTTTCCTCTCTTCGGTTCGTCGAGGAAGGCGGGACGTAGCCCCCTAGCAACACCTCTTCCAATGAAGGCGTTGCTAAAAGCAAGTAAGCTCGTGCGAGGGTAGAAAAAGTGAGCGCCGTTCTGTGTGGCTCACGAGGAAGAGAGTGACAAAACTTTCCACCACTCATGCGAAGGAAAGAACGGAAGTTGTACCGCTATTGTGGCCCACTGGCAAGGAGTGGGCGGAGATGTTTACTTTGAAGGATGAAATGTGGGCCCAATCGACAAGGGCAAAGGCGGGGCTTAGCTAATTTTATCGATAACATTCTTCACCAATCAAAAAGTGCTGCTGAAAGTTCAGCTTCGAACAGGGAATCCAGCTCGGCCAATCAGGGGCTTAACCACTGGAGCTCGCTAGAATGAAGGTTCTGTAGGTCAGAGGATGAGGGATCGGCGTTTGAATGACAAGTGCGCGCACCACTAACAATGCACCGCGGGGGGCGGTGCCGGAATTGAAGTACACGGCCGAGAGGGCGGGTCATCCGGCAGATCCGGGCGGGGGAGGGAGCTGGGACTCGGTACGCGCAGGGCGGCCAGAGCAGCATGGCGGAAGACGAGAGCGACCAGGAATCGGAGAGACTCGGCGAGGAACTCAAGGCTATTAATGAGCCGCGCCTTCCCGCCGGATTGTCTCCTGCCCTGAGCAGCCAGTATTATTGCTACCGCTTCTGCCAGGTGAGTCGCTAGTCCCGCCCCCTATAGATTGACACTCCGGGACTTGGGGGCAGAAGACAGCCGAGTGATGGACGCCAAGGAATTTCGGACCGATCGTTCTGCGGCGAAAACGTCGAAGGTTCCCCTCCCCTCTCTATGTCGCGCGGCCCTTTGCACAGCTAGCGGCTTCAGGGGAAAATAAGAGGGCGAGCCTACACGGAGGCGCTTCCCCCTTTCTCCGGTCGAGGCGGGGGAAACCGATTCCCTTTCGTTTCTGCCTTTTCTCTTCACTCCCTACTTAGAGCGAGCGGTAGGAAAGCCGCCCGTGGCCGAGCGGGCAGTTGTCCGTGAGGGGGAGTTGATTTTCGCCACGTCAGTTTTCCGCTCATTTTGTCCTTGTCACTGATACCCTTCTGTGGCTTAGAAAGTGGTCCTGACCCTTTCCTTTTACCTCACCGGCTGACCGGATAGGGAGCTGCCTTCCGAAGTGCAGAAAAAGGCCTTTCCCCGTCCTCTCGTGAGCCGCTCCGTTTGCTGTCACTTGGGGTGGGGGGGTGGGGGTTCCGTTCCCGAGCTCAAGTCCGAAGTTGGTGGCCCTCTCGGTCTAGGAGCTGGGGATTTTTAGATTGATGTTAAAAGTCTCTAGAGATTCTCAGTCATCCAGGTCACGGTTGTGGATGACAAAGGTGCTTTTTTTTTTCCTTTTCTTCAGAAGACAACTAGACTTTCCTGGTTTTTTTTTCTTTTTGAAGACCTTTTGCTTCTCATCCAAGAAGCTTCTTCAGCTCTGACAGGATAGTGGGGAATGGAAGGATTTATATTCCTTGCAGGCAGCTGGTCATTTGCATTGATGTTGAGGTAATAAGACAAAGCTACTGTAGTTCTTTAAAGGGGTTGGGTGAGGGCTCAGTTCTTCCTCCTCCTCCTCCTCCTCCTAAAACTTTACATTTGGTTGGCCTAAGCATGAATGAGGGTTGCTGAGAAAACAGCCCACTGTTTTGAATGGGAGTTCATGACCTAGTTGCTGCTAGTTGTTCAGTTTCCTATTAAGAACCTACTGAAGATGTTTTGCCAGTGCATGTCTTTTTCTGATGGGATGGAAGCTGGAGGGAAGATCTCAATTGGTTGCTACAGGTGTGTTGATGTAACTTTACCACTTCATGTATTATTATTTTGCTGATATTTTGTTTTACATGATCCTGCTTGGATTCTTTTTGTTCTACTTGATCCCAAAGTGGCTTGGGGAATTTAAAGGTAGTTTGGGCTGGGTTGGCGGGTTTGGAATAAAGGCCTAAATGAAAATTAAGATCATGCACAATTACCTGAATTAACATATTCAGAAAAAATGTTTAAGTGTTTGGCATCTGTGATAAATGAAGAAACTTCTGATTATATCATTGCTTTATCATGATTTCCAAATGGCGTTTAATTGTTTATATTTGAGGGACTTAGAATATAAGCGAACTTGTCTAAACATGATTTTTACTTTTATGCTGTGCTGCCTTGTGCATTTCTACATTATTTAGGTGGAATCCTATCCTTACCTGAAAATGTTGGATTAAATACAATTGTTTCATTTTTTTTAGTAAATACATTTGGTTTGTTATTCAGGTGAAATTGTACTAAAGCTATGGTCTGACTCATACACCCAGTTAACCATTTAGCCATAGTTTATGAAATAAATCACAGTTTATTATATTCACACAACGTATGCGATAAAGTATGATTGAAAGACCTTGGTGTCTGGATTCATATACTGTATCACATTTAGACAAAATGAAAATTTTATGATGTAATTTGATGTGTGGTTCATTTTGACTTTTGATTTAGAAATAATATATTAAATACCTGTTCATAGGTTAAAATAGATTCTATAATACTTCTGAGAAGTATTAATGTATATATCTTACATAAGCTTACCTCTGTGGCCATATACTGGATGTTTTTCTATACCCAGTATAGGAAATATACATAAAAATAAAAATCTACAAATAAAATAGTATAAAAACAGGTTTGAAAACAATAATATTGTTACATTTTCCATGCCATGGATATAAAGGTTACATTCTAGTTCTCTATTCCTGGCTTTTAAAAAAATCCTCTTTATTAAATGCAAAACAAACATTTTGAAAAAATGATTTCATACAGAGTACATATTAATTTTTCATATAAATATAAAAGTTCTACATTTAATTAATGGTAACTATTTTATTATAATTATAAATATATATTGATAAGTCATTTATTGATCACTTGCTAATAACAAACTGTAAAGTGTTTAATACTTGGGGCATATATTTATCTTTCTAATCCTGAAGAGCCTTTTGGTTTTAAGTAAAACATGGAGAACCCATTTTCTTTGTCTAGGTGTCAGTTTCCATGTTGTAGGTATAATTCAGTGGAATATTTATATCTGAAATTATTGAATCTTGTCTCAGGATACAATTCATATGTGTAATAATTTTCTTCCTAACTGGAACATTTATAGCACAATGTAAAATATATTTGAAGGAAGCTTTAATTTAATTGCATATCCAAATTTTTAGTACATAAATGCAATGTAATTTAGTTAGTCTGAATTGCTTTTTGTTGAATAAAATGTACTGTAATCTAAAATATATTAAAGTTTTTGATTGTTAAAATTACGAAGAAATTTTGGGCTGCTTTAGTATCATGAGATACATAGATGAGGTGTGTCTATGTTGAAAATGTGAGTCAGCATATGCTGTAAATGTAAATAATGTAAATACCTCTAAGCTATTATGCAGATATTTTTATTTTACTGCAGAAATTTTTTAAAAATCTTTATCCTATAAATAAGCTGAAGCATAAATACCTATTTCCAACACATATTCTATACAACGGGATTTTAAAATTTGTTTTGAGATCCTGATTACAGGTGAAACTCAAAAAATTAGAATATCGTACAAAAGTTCATTTATTTCAGTAATGCAACTTAAAAGGTGAAACTAATATATGAGATAGACTCATTACATGCAAAGCAAGATAGTTCAAGCTGTGATTTGTCATAATTGAGATGATTATGGCTTACAGCTCATGAAAACTCCAAATCCACAATCTCAGAAAATTAGAATATTACATGCAATCAATAAAACAAGGATTGTACATAGAACAGTATCGGACCTTTGAAAAGTATAAGCATGCATATGTACTCAGTACTTGGTTTTGGGCCCCTTTTGCATCAATTACTGCCTCAATGCAGTGTGGCATGGAAGCTATCAGCCTGTGACACTGCTGAGATGTTATGGAAGACCAAGATAGTGGCCTTCAGCTCTTCTGCATTTTTCGGTCTCATGTCTCTCATCTTTCTCTTGGCAATGCCCCATAGATTATCTATGGGGTTCAGGTCAGGCGAGTTTGCTGGCCAATCAAGCACAGTAATCCCATGGTCATTGAAGCAGGTTTTGGTGCTTTTGGCAGTGTGGGCAGGTGCCAAGTCCTGCTGGAAAATGAAGTCAGCATCCCCATAAAGCTTGTCTGCAGAAGGAAGCATGAAGTGCTCCAAAATCTTCTGGTAGATGGCGTTGACTCTGGATTTAATGAAGCACAGTGGACCAACACCAGCAGATGACATGGCTCCCCAAATCAACACAGACTGGAAACTTCACACTGGACTTCAAGCATCTTGCAGTGTGTGCCTCTCCATTCTTCCTCCAGACTCTGGTCCTTGGTTTCCAAATGAGATGCAAAAGTTGCTCTCATCAGAAAAGAGGACTTTGGACCACTGAGCAACAGACCAGGTCTGTTTTTCTTTGGACCAGGTAAGACGCTTCTGACGTTTGTTGTTCAGGAGCAGTTTGACAAGAGGAATACGACATTTGAAGCCCATATCCAGGATCCGTCTGTGTGTGGTAGGTCTTGATGCACTGACTCCAGCCTCAGTCCACTCCTTGTGAAAGTCCCCAACACTTTTGAATGGTCTTTTCCTGACAATCCTCTCCAGGCTGCGGTCATCCCTGCTGCTTGTGCATCTTTTTCTTCACACTTTTCCCTTCCACATAACTTTCTATTAATGTGCTTTGATACAGCACTTTGGGAACATCCAACTTCTTTTGCAATTACCTTTTGAGGCTTTCCCTCCTTATGGAGGGTGTCAGTGATGGTTTTCTGCATAACTGTCAGGTCAGCAGTCTTTCCCATTATTGTGATTCCTACTTGAACCTGACTGAGAGACCATTTAAAGGCTCAGGAACCCTTTGCAGGTGTTATGGCTTAATGAGCTGATTCGAGTGGGACACTTTGAGCCTAGAATATTGAACCTTTTCACAATATTCTAATTTTCTGAGATTGTGGATTTGGAGTTTTCATGAGCTGTAAGCCATAATCATCTCAATTATGACACATCACGGCTTGAACTATCTTGCTTTGCATGTAATGAGTCTATCTCATATATTAGTTTCACCTTTTAAGTTGCATTCCTGAAATAAATGAACTTTTGCACGATATTCTAATTTTTTGAGTTTCACCTGTATATTATATAAGTTTAGCACTAGAAAAGAGTCAAAAGCCAGTTCCTACTAATCATGTATCACAGTTTTGAAATCAACGTTATAGTGATTACAATATAATGTAGAGCTATCCAAAATCAGTTACATCTTGGTGTCAGCAAAACAAATAAGAATTAAGATGTAGGGTTAATTCACCACTCATAATCAGGTCTTTTTGAATTTGACTTAGCAAAAAGTGTAATTATCAGCCCTTGTTGATTATTTAGCAAACTGATTGTGTACATACAGATAATGTATTTAGATTTGAGTGGCATTACATTTAACTGCCTTTCTGATCTTCCTATATTAATCATTTGTTTTTAATTTGACAGTGATGAGCCTCTCTAATCAGGGTATTTTACCTTCCAAAGTAAGGTGCATTTTAAAAAAATATGGAGAGCATTTTATGTGAATGACTTGCTTTGAATTGACATTATAATAGATGTACTCATACTGTAATCTTATGAATAAGTAGTTTTTAAAATGTTTTGAAGGCGAAGATGAGACATTCAAATTTCTCATAATAACTTTGTGTGTGAAGATAAATGTAATATTTAAATTGGACAGCACTTTGGAGTGAAGTCTGATATTACATACATCTATTGACATTTGATGGCTTTTTCAATTGAATGGATCCTTTCATACACAGTGCAAGCACAAGCAGTAGGTTGTTTTTTTTTGTGATTTATAGTTATAACTACCATATTTGGTTTGGTTACAGTGTAAGTACATACTCTAAGCTTTGCTTTCTGTATTGCAATTGAATGCTGTGTGGCAAATCTGCCACATTGATTAATGATCTGAAGGATTATGATTAGGAGCAGTTTTTAATTTTGGGACACTTAATTTGATACTTAAATCATACTTCAATGCGTATTTTTCTTTGCAGTTTTTTTCTACTATATCAATATATTAGGAAATGATGAGTTCTAGACCTTTCTTATAAAAGCCACTTGGATAACTTTCTCAGCCTAGCATATCTTACACAGTTGTTGTAGGAAAATAGGATGCAGAAGTATTAAACATGTTTAAATATATTTACCACCTAGAGTTGATCAAATATATATATTTAAAAAAGGATAAAAATATGATTCGATAGATGAAGTAAAATGCCAAAGCCAGTCTAAACCTCTGGCTGACTGTGACTGGCCTAAGAATTAATAATAAAAATTCAAAAACATATGGAATACCATTTGAATACCATCAACATTGAAAACTATCAGTCAGTTGCAAAAGGCAGTTTTACTTGGACCAGCTTACAAACTGTGACAATATCTTTAATACCATCAAGCAACAATACCTACCTATCTCAGGTAGGTCTTTGGGAAGGACTCAATAGATGGATAAAATTGCTGGATCCAATGTAAACATCTGGATAACTGTGCAACCAAACATAATAGTTAGTAGCATGTTGATACTGAGGCAAAAATTCTTATAGCAATTGTACTGCATATCTTGTTTCTGAGTAGATGCTGTGTTGTATCTAAACCAGAGGGCTTACAGGCCACCTTAAATTATGAATCTTTTTAATTGTAAGTTTTCTATTATTCCTTAGCCATGGAATGGTGCTACAAATTATTATTTTCCTTTTAACAAAAGTAGAAACACATTTTTATAACACAAATTGTTTTCTTTGGGGAAGAAATAAGGATAGTAAATCCTCATCTAGCAATTGCAAATGGGAATGGCAACTTATTGCTAAGCAACATGTTCATAAATATGAGACTCTGCCAGCTTATGATATCACTTCTGTCTGCAGTCATTAAACAAATCACCTGTGGTTAAGTGCAACATCATGTGACTGCAACTTGTGACTTCTGACTTCTCAGTTGACTGCTTATTGGAAACTGGCTGTGAAGATTGTAAATTGTGATCATGTACTTCCAGATATTATGACTATTATAAATGCATGCTGGTTGCCAAGTACCTGGACTGTGATCATGTTGATTGCAGGATGTTGCAGTGATTGCAACATTAAGACTAGTCATAAAGCTCTTTTTTCAATGTTGTAACTTTGAATGTTGTTAAACAAGCAATTGGTAAGGAATTGTAGACGCAGATTGTAAGGAATTGCCTTCTCAGTACTTATCAAGGATTCCTTTTCTCTCTCTGAGAATCTGTTGGAATTAAAAGTCAAGTAGGTTTCCCTATTTGGAAATCACACTTGGGGTGTTTCAGTCCTTACTGAAATAGCAGTGCTTTAAGTTACATGATTTTGTATATAGTTCAAGAAAGTATCCTAGAGAGGCTTTAAAACTTACTTTCATGTAGTTTTATTTTGTGTAATTCATTAACAGTTCTATTTATATCTTCATTATATACTGGTTCAAATAATCTTATGTATTTACATTTTCTCTACATAACATAAATATAATATACAGTCTTTCTGCCACAACTTATAATTGGTGTATCTGTAGAAATACTGTATATTTAGTCTTTAAATGAAATCAGCTGGTTTAAATGTTACCATTACATTTATTAGACAATTAAATTTAGCTTTTTTGTAAACAAATCAATCACTGTCCTCCAAAGACAGTTTCAAAATGTAATCTTAGAAAATCAAAATGATGGAAGTATGATAATCTGTTTCATAAAGAGATGTTTTAAGGTACTAATATAAAACAGGTTACTGTTCTTGTACACGGTCTGTTTACCATTTTGGAACTTGTCTTCTATTATTTTGAATGTGATAGTTCTGGAGTGAAATAAAAATAATGTTCATTATAAATCCTGAAACATAGTCATATAATATAAAATTAAAAATTTCTGTTTATTGGAAAAGCTCTCAAATGCTAACTCTGTGTAAGACCTATACTTAAATACACCCATTTAAGAATTATTAAGGTATAATACTAAGCATCTTGTTCACGTCTGTAACAAAGCTGAAAGCCAGAATCTGACAGCTAAATTTGGAGGAATTGAATACACATAAATATGCATTGGAAAAAGACTTTCAATTGATAATATGAATTAAGGTTTAAAAGTTGATGAGCTGAGACTGGGGTGCATTTTATGTGGGTGGCGATAGAGAAATGTTACAATAAGTGGTCAAAAAGGGAATAGATAATAATTGGATTTATTTTCTTGTATACTGTTTGAACATCCTGTCCTCTTGCATTACTGTGTTTCGTATCACCACTTAGAGACATTGTGGGTGATAATTGTATGATTTATTTACATTTTATATGCCTGTTTTTTTAAAGCAAAAAAAAAAAAAAGCAATTATGGACTGAAGACTCAAAATCTTAATCGTTTTTATAGGAGAACAACTTACTTGTGTCTTATGTAGTCTCAAGACATAAAATGGTAAGCTTTATTCTCCAAACTGCTTGTCTTACCTCGGTAATTACACTGCTCAAAAAAATAAAGGGAACACAAAAATAAGATATCCTAGATCTGAATGAATGAAATATTCTTATGAAATACTTTGTTCATTACATAGTTGAATGTGCTGACAACAAAATCACACAAAACTTATCAATGGAAATCAAATTTAGCAACCCATGGAGGTCTGGATTTGGAGTTACACTCAAAATTAAAGTGGAAAAAAACACTACAGGCTGATCCAACTTTGATGTAATGTCCTTAAAACAAGTCAAAATGAGGCTCAGTAGTGTGTGTGGCCTCCACGTGCCTGTATGGCCTCCCTACAACGCCTGGGCATGCTCCTGATGAGGTGGCGGATGGTCGTCTGAGTGATCTCCTCCCACACCTGGACTAAAGCATCCCCCAACTCCTGGACAGTCTGTGGTGCAACGTGGCATTGGTGGATGGAGCGAGACATGATGTCCCAGATGTTCTCAATTGGATTCAGGTCTGGGGAATGGGCAGGCCAGTCCATAGCATCAATGCCTTCGTCTTGCAGGAACTGCTGACACACTGCAGCCACATGAGGTTTAGCATTAGGAGCAACCCAGGGCCAACCGCACCAGCATATGGTCTCACAAGGGGTCTGAGGATCTCATCTCGGTACCTAATGGCAGTCAGGCTACCTCTGGCGAGCACATGGAGGGCTGTGCGGCCCCCTAAAGAAATGCCACCCCACACCATTACTGACCCACTGCCAAACCGGTCATGCTGGAAGATGTTGCAGGCAGCACAACGTTCTCCACGGGGTCTCCAGACCCTGTCATGTCTGTCATATGTGCTCAGTGTGTACCTGCTTTCATCTGTGAAGAGCACAGGGTGCCAGTGGCGAATTTGCCAATCTTGGTGTTCTCTGTCAAATGCCAAACGTCCTGCACGGTGTTGGGCTGTAAGCACAACCCCCACCTGTGGATGTCGGGCCCTCATACCACCCTCATGGTGTCTGTTTCTGACCGTTTGAGCAGCCACATGCACATTTGTGGCCCGCTGGAGGTCATTTTCCAGGGCTCTGGCAGTGCTTCTTGCACAAAGGCGGAGGTAGCGGTCCTGATGCTGGGTTGTTGCCCTCCTACGGCCTCCTCCACGTCTCCTGATGTGCTGGCCTGTCTCCTGGTAGCGCCTCCATGCTCTGGACACTACGCTGACAGACACAGCAAACCTTCTTGCCACAGCTTGCATTGATGTGCCATCCTGGATGAGCTGCACTACCTGAGCCACTTGTGTGGGTTGTAGACTCTGTGTCATGCTACCACTAGAGTGAAAGCACCGCCAGCATTCAAAAGTGACCAAACCATCAGCCAGAAAGCATAGGACCTGAGAAGTGGTCTGTGGTCACCACCTGCAGAACCACTCCTTTATTGGGGATGTCTTCCGAACTGCCTATGCTTTCCACCTGTTGTCTATTCCATTTGCACAACAGCATGTGGAATTGATTGTCAGTCAGTGTTGCTACCTAAGTGGACAGTTTGATTTCACAGAAGTGTCATTGACTTGGAGTTACATTGTGTTGTTTAAGTGTTCCCTTTATTTTTTTGAGCAGTGTATATACTTTGTAGTTGTATTCTTTAATGAGGTTACAAATAAAAATTGCCTATCTGTAGAATATAACAGCATACTATATTCTTGCTTATATGCTGTTTCAGATCAAGTTTAATGTGTACTGTTTTCTCTGTAAACAGGTTGTTGAAGATTATGCTGGAAGATGGCAGGTTCCTCTGCCACAGCTTCAAGTACTCCAGACAGCTCTCTGTTGTTTCACATCTGCATGTGTATCTTTTCCAGATGAATGTGAACATGTACAGTATGTGCTAAGTAGCCTAGCCTTGTAAGTAGATCATGCTCTTCCTATTGTAAACTTCTTAACTTTCTCGATATTATGGGATAATTTTAAAAATTAATCTTCAAGGATAATTTTTTAAGCTTTGGCAAGAAGATTGGTGTCATTTTTTTCCAAGTGTATAAAATGTAAGAGCTGTTTAAGAATTTGTTGACCTGTGCATAATACATATTTGGGACTTGGAATCTGACTATTGGAAAACATTCTTATCTAGTGAAAAGCAGGTTGCTGGTGGGTATCATCATTCTTTGTTTTTAGGCAAGTCAAAGGAAAAACTGCATATCTATATTTAGGCAAATCTTGCCAAAGCAATTCCCCAATACAAAATGTAATAGGTTGTAATTATTTGCACTCACCGTACCTAGTGTGGCATTATCATCAAGCTGCCTTTTAATCTAATTATTTCTACAAAAATGGGAAATAATTGTTAGGACACTTATACATAAATTACTGTGAAATCTCTCAAATCTTGTAGAAGACCAAAAGATATTTGGTAACTTCATATAAGGCACTAGACTTGCAAACTCTGGTGAAGGATCATCACAAGAATGTTGAACAAATAATATCTAAAACCTCAGAGTATTAAAAATTAGACCCTCATACCTATAGAAGTTCAGTATTGATTAACAACAATTTTAATTTTATCAAACCAACAGTTGTAGACTGGGACTTAAAGTTCAGTTTCATTAGACTGCTTATTTTTTTACTCTAACATGGATTTTGAGAACAGTCCATTGTCTCATAATGATGTGGAATCATATTGCATGTGAGCAAAAACTGAAAAAATGCAGTGTTTACTGAAAAAAAAAAACTTGCATTCTATTTGGAGATAGAAGAATTAGCACCAACTGTTGGTTCATCGTTTAAATCTCCATGAATCTGTAATCTTTAATTGGGTGAGAAATTTTAGGTTGCAGTGGCCCTTAATAAAGTATTTCTTCAATTCTATATTATGGAAGTTTGTATAGACTCTATAATACACTAAAAATTCAGCTAATATATAATGTAACATACCACTGCAACATTGTATTAGGAAGAATATTATTCCAATATTTTACCTTGTCAATAACTTTCTATGGTATAGTTCTATTAAATGAGCTTGCCTGATAGAGAATTCACAGGGCTTTGTCAACATTGCTCCTTCATTTAAAATTCTTTATTTAAACTTGTGTCATAATATGCTTGCTCTGCTTATTTCTTTTCAACTTCAAGTTGCTTTGATTTATAGGAGCTTTTTCGAACTGTTGCTGTTCTTTGGAAAAGATGAATTCTATGAAGATCCTTTAAAAGATATTCTTGGGTCAATCCAGGTAATTTGCTAGTATTCAAATAATTAAGTGTTAGCAAGCATAATGCAAGCAATTTACAAGTAGTCCTTGATTTATGATCATTTGTTTAGTGACCATTCAAAGTTTTGACAGCACTGAATGATTGGTAGTTTCTGGCTGATCCTCAAAGTTCCAACCATTCTAGCACCCGCCTTGCTCACATGATTGTGATCTGAATGCTTGGCAATCCATTTATACTTATAACTGGTTCCCAAGTGCCCAATGATCACAAATGCCATTTGTAAATTCATGCTGGTTTCTCCAGAAAGTCAAAGTGGAAGCCAGCAGGGAAGCCTGTAAGTTACTGGGTAACTCTCCTCGTGCATCCTTCCCCAGCCTCTTTGAACTTACGTTATACTGGTCACTTGCACAGCCCTGTGCACCTTCCCTGACCTATGCATTGCCATCATAAAACCTCACACATCCTTCCTGACTCTTTTAATGCCTCTAGTGCAACCCCTCCCGCACACTCACCCACCAACCCTATGCATGTGGCACTTTTCTTAGATCTTTACACACACTGTATAATACCTGTTGTGTACCCTTTCTAACCCTTCCCCATACCCCACCAATCCCCTTCCTCCCTGATTCAGCAGCACCTGTTAACTTCTCTGTGGGTCTGGGAATTGCAACTTCCTGCTGGCTTCCCCCATTGACCTTGAAACAGCAGGAAATTGGCTTGCCTAAAGACCATGGGATTGAGTTAACAGCAGCAAATGGGACTGCAGGGATTGTGGTTGCTAAGCAATGTGATTGCATTTTCTGATGGTACTGCTTAGTGACAGGAAGTTTTGGTTCCAGTTGCTGTGGTATCAAGAACTACCTGAATAAGGAACTTTATCCAAAAGGAAAATTCAGTTAAATTCCTTAAATTTTTCAATTAAAATTTAAGTATGAAATTCTGAGTCAATATATAATGCTGTGAATTGTATACAAATAACATGATTAATTGTTAATATCAAATTCATGTAGGAATCAGTTTGTGACTTTAGAGTCTGTTATTGTATCAGACCATCTCTCTTCCTTTTGCACTCTGGTCCCATTACTTTCTAATGGCAGTTGAGAAAATGTTAATTAGTATGGAGCAAAGCTACATAATCATTGCCAGTTAAATTCATAAACATTTTTCCTATAGTGGTCTTCCCTGTTGAAATTTTAGTAGCCCTTGGCTTAGCTCCTAACAGACTATTTTTCAGTGCTGCTTATTTGTGATATCTATATACTACTAAAACTCTCATTGTCATGGTTAAATTGGATGAAATGGTATGTTATAGGGCAATAGTTTTTGAAGCAAGGTACCTTAAATGGCTAACATATATAGGATGTGTCCAAAATCTGGGAGCCATGATTCCCAAGGGAATCAATTTTGAGAAAGTTGTGCTTCATGCTGTTGACTGCCTCTGTGCTGTTGCAGTCATGTTATCTTTATTTTCAATGTTCTGTGACAGTCTCCCAATCAGTATCACAATCCTTTACTGCCCTCCTCACCCAGCAGTGGTCATATATTTGCCTGCTGGGAAGGGAAGGGAAGGAAGGAAAATTGCTTCTGCATGAATGCTTGGAAGACGCAATAAATGTAATTGAAGAGAAACTTGAAAAAATATTGGGCAACACTTATACTTTTAAAATTTTTGGGTTGAAAAAAAGAAAGTGTGACTAATTGATGTAGTAATAGCAGAGGGTAGTGGAATAGAAAAAAAATTGGAGAGATCACACAGTGGCAAGATCTAAAATTAAAATTTGAAAGATAATAACAAAAATTAGCCAGTGATTATCAACACACTGGGTACCACAGATCTACTGGGTAAATTACAAGGCAAGAAAGCAAGAGACTGTGAGTTCTAATCCCGATTTAGCCTTGAAAGTCAGATATGTGACTGTTGACCAGTCACACACACAAAACAACTTTGCAGGGTTGTTATGGAGGAAATGGAGGAGGAAAATGTGTGGATATATGTTCACCTTGAGTTATTTGTAAAAATAATAAAGGTGGGATACAAATAAATAGAAGTAATAAAAAATGTCTATGGAGGTTCTCGGTCATCCAGGTCATGGTTGTCCGAAAGGCACTTTTTCAAGAGGAAACTGGGTTGAAGAAGCTGACAAGCTGAAGAAACTTCTTGGATGAGAAGTGAAACATCTTCAAAGAAAAAACAGAAAGTCCAGCTGCTTCTTGAAAAAGCACCTTTGGGACAAATTATAAAGGAGTAAGTTGCCAGTCAGTTTTGGCACATTTTGGCAAATATGCAATAAGTGCAGTTGAAGCCCCTAACTTTATGCTAAAAAAGGTGAAATCTCTAAAACTTAAGAAGTATATATGCAGTGTACTGATACATTCCCAGATACATTCTAAGTACTTTAATGTTCACTACTTATTCCTCCATAGGATTGCCAGAATCAACTCAACAGATACAGAAATGTTAACTTAGAATTGGTGACTCGAATTACCAGAGATGGTGGACCTTGGGAGGATCCTGTATTACAAGCTGTTCTTAAAGGAAAATCAGCTTCTCAGGAATTAGGTACAAATAATTTTCCATATATATTGAAAATGGCATAATTTAAATTAATGCTAAATGTAGGAAATTTTTATTTGATTTCTTTATAATTGTTTTGAGGTAGTGAACATTATAATGTATTTCTTAATCACAAGATAGAACTAATTCAATTAGAGACTAAAGTTGGGCTGAAATATAAGAAAATTTAGTGTACAATATATTGTGGATTTTGAGATTATCACTTATGCATGGAAAACAATTTGTATTGATTTTATAGATAATTGGTCCTGAGATGGCACAGTATTAAAGAATAATTTTATGTGTGCATCTTGTTATATCATGGACAAAATTTATCAGCTTGCCAACAATCAAGTTGACTTGATGGCACATAATAAATCATTTTATAGTAATTGCAGATATCTTCTCAAGTAAAATGCCGAGTGTTACTTTCATAGGAATATAATACGAACTCACTGAAAAATATTGCAGCATTCTAATTTAAAATATTTATGGTCTTAATTAAATAGTTACAAGGATTAAATTATGTGTGCATAATTTGGGGGCAGTATTGCTATAAGAAATGCTATTATTATTGTAGAAGAAGACTGCATAACATACATTGAGATTTACATGTTTCCAAGAAGAATGGGGCCAGATAATATTTTGGAAGGAAGTTGTAGGAGTTATAATGGGTGAATGGCTCTCTTTAGGATATGTCCTTGAAGTTCCCCATCCCCAGTCCTCAATCTTAAATTTATGGCCTCACTCAATTGGGGCAGAGGAGATAGCAACAAAAGGAAGATAGTGAACTGCAATTTTTTGCATTGCTGTCATAATAATTTTATATTGGCCCCATTCTCTTATCCATGTTTTTAAAAGAAAACCTCCATAGATTATCCACTTTTTAATTTTAATAAGTTTAATAGAATGTTTCCAATATTTTGTAAACCTGATAACGTAATCTTAATATTTTATAACTGAATTATTTGTTTTCTTTTACCAGTTAACAAATATTTAAGCTCTGAAAATCCACTGTTCTTTGAATTACGTGCCAGATACCTTATTGCCTGTGAACGCATCCCAGAGGCAATGGCTCTTATCAAAGCTTGCATGAATCATCCTGATATTAGCAAAGACCTTTACTTCCATCAAGCATTTTTCATGTGTCTTTATATGTCTCCGCTAGATGATCACCTACTCCAAGAGGTATAGTTTGTCAGCTTTAATGCAGTTTTATGATATATCTTGATAAGGGATAGTATTCTAATTCATATTAAGCAAAATAAATGATCATCTTTTTTTAAAAAAATCATTCCTGTATTACGACTATATAGATTAATCACAATTCTGTATATATTATTTTTTTTGAATATTGGACAACTACTTTTTGGCATTAGCATTTCAATAACTCTGTTCTAAGATTGCCAAGTAACAATTAATGTAATGGAAAATTTGGTCATGGAAAATAGGAGTAACACTTTACTATTCCGTTCAAATTAATAAAAAACCAAATATGGCATATATAAATTCTTGTTATTGTAAATATTTCTCTTCCTCCTTGTGTTATTAGCTTCCTATACTGGGTAATAGAACTAGTAATAGGAGCTAGGAATTCCAATTATTGTAAAAGGTTAGCCTTTTTCATACTACACTTGCCTGAGTTATCTCATTTTGATTGCATAGCATTTGCTGAGGACTGACTGCAAGAATGGCATTGAAATCATCTGCAACATTGCAAAAGAAGGGAAGATTGCTGTAGCATTGAATCTTTGTGAATTGTTTCTTATTCCACAGCTCAAAAAAGGGGATATGTATTGCATCTGGTAAATCTTTTCTTTCAATAATACTGCTTTACACTAGTGTTATAATAAAGTAAATTACAAGTAAATTATAAAGGAATGGTCAAAGCCTAGTTAATTATTAAGAATAAATAGTGCTTCGATGCAATTTCATTCTGTAAAATCCATCAATTAGTGAAAACTAGGTATTGAATATTTTTGTATTATTATAGATTGCTTAAAAATATTGGATTATCTTATTGATTTACTTAACTGACAACTAGAAAGTACTTTATTTTTCTCCCAAATTAATTTCTTTACAACTTCTCATTTATGACTGGTGCTTTTATGAACTTGATCAAAATTTCATTAATCTGTAAAAACTATATCTTACATTTTATTTGTTAAAAAAATTCAGAAATGGAGAATTATCTAAGAGAATGCAAAAGTGCCTTATATTTAAGCTGACTACTCTAAAAATGTCACATAGACTGGCAAAGGCTCTAGAGATTCATAGTTTTCCTCTATGTAGATGCTGGAAATTGAACTTTAGGTCTGCAGACAAACAAGGCTCAAATACTTATTTATGATTTCTCTCAAATAGCTTTTTGAATAATATATTGATAATATTACATACTTCCATATGTAGAATTTGCATACAGTGAAAATTTATTTTAATACACTAATTGGAGGATGTGGCTGGTTTTAATAAATGGCCATTGAATTGGAGAATGCATTTCCAAGTTGATTTGCATAATAGTAGCATTATGCAAATGATACAAATTATGTCATTATTTTTATAACCCTGAATTATATCTACCATAGATTTTAACATGATAAATGTCATATGATTTGTACCTTGGTTCATAAAATAATAAGCTTTATTTTGTTTTACAGGGAGCTGATCTTTATTTGGAGTAAAATGCAGCTTAGGTCTAACCCATCAAAGCAAGTATTTGTAGATCAGTGCTACCATCTTTTAAGGATAGCTACAAATTTACAAGTTATTTTCCCTTTCATGAAAGTCATTAGGGATGAAGTAAGTAATAGCATTTGCTTCAGATATGTGTTTTAAAAGTACCAATATTAAATATTGTATAAGTTATGTTGTTATATAGTTAAATATTTTGTTGAGAAACAATATATGGATAATGTCTAAAATGTTTTATTTGCACACCTGGCATTGGAGAACAGCAAATAGTATTCTAGCCATACTTATGGAGTTTGTGTTTTGAAGTTTTATTATAGGGCAAGAATAACATGTGCTGTGTACAGCTCTAAAATGGACCAATATTAGTAGGATTAGCTCAACATATACTTAAAAAATGGTTGTAATTATGAAGACATTTTCTTTTTACACTTTACAAACTTTAAATGTATATTAGTTTATAAGTTCCATAATTGTTTTATGCAACATGTAAAAGAAAGTAATTGAATTATGTTCCAAAAATATATATATTTGTTTAATGATGATTATTAATAGTTGTATAACACATTTGAATGAAGGGATCTGCAGCACACAGGAGCATTGAAACATTGAAGTAGCAATCTTTTTATGGACCTCATGTAGCTGTTTTGATAACAACTCCCATTTTTTTTCATTTGTGTATTTGTGAATTGCCACTTTTCTAGATACATAAATGTGGAGGTACTTTGAGCACTTTCCAAACAACTTTACAAGCCTTCTGAAAGAGGCATTACTTTAATCATTTGAAAAGGATTACTTTGTGCTCTTGCCTGAACCTTAATTTAGTAATTATTCTTTGTCCTTGATTTTAAAAGATATAATTATATGTTGTGCTTGTTTTAACTGTATTTAGAAAAAAATTATCAAAATTTAGTCTTCCACAGTTGGAAGAGTTTCCATTCATGAATTGGTTTTGACTCAACTGAGTGAACTTACTGTAATAGGAAAATATAATGTACAATGATAACAGTTTAAAATGAATGTACCTTTAAAATTTTTGCAATATTATTTATTACTTTTCTACATTGACATAATACAATACTTTTAAGAATATTTACATCTATTCACCAGTTCTCCTGTATATTAGGGTGTGGGTTGTTTGTTTTACATCCAGTTTCTCCCTAAAGATAACTGGGAATTTTAACTTTGGAACCAGTGATAGGTTTCAAAGTAGTTTACCACCGATTCGGAGGGCGTGGCTTGGTGGACGTGCTTTGTGTGCGCGCACATACTTTGCACACATGCATGCCAAACACACAATTTGCGCATGTGCAAAGGCTTTCCTACTCACCTCCTGCAATCCTGCACTCTCCCTGTAGCTTCAACAGCTGATGCGCGGCAATCTGCTATGCCACGCAAAGTAGCTGCGCTTCAAAAGCAGGGAATAAAGGTCAGTATGGGAGCCCGGGCGGGTAGGCCCAACAGCGGCTTGTCAGGGAGAACCGGTTCGGCCTCCACTGATCTTTGGCGCTGCCGGTACGCCAGAACTGGGCCGAATCGGTAGAATAGTACCACTGTTTGGAACCATTTGTTGTATCATTGAGTTATAATTTTTTTGAGAATAACTCTCTGGAAGAGGAAATGCAGAAGATTCTCAGTATTCTGAATTTATTCTACCTTTCTTTCTCACAGATTGGCAAGGGAGGTCTGCAGATTTGTGTAGAGATATGTGGAAGTGCTCTTCAGCTAGATCTTCATGATGATCCAAAAATGAAATGTTTGATATACAAAACCATTGCTCACTTTTTGCCAAATGACTTAGAAATAGTGCGGATATGTGCTCTTTCTATATTTTTTATTGAGCGCACCTTGGAGTCCTATTATACTATTGAACAGCTATATAAATGTACAGATGAAGAATACAATGAACAGATAAGTTCAGTTCAGAATCGTGTACGTTTTGAGTTGCTGCCAATTTTGAAAAAGGGGTTGTTTTTTGATCCAGAATTTTGGAATTTTTTGATGATCAAACAGAACTGTTTAGCACTATTAAGAGAGAAAGCCTCAGTTGAACTGAGTGAACGTCCACCTGAGCTTTCTTCTGCAAATACATCAAAGACACATCGAGCACTGCGGGGTGATCAATCTTGTGTACCTGAGATAAACAATGGAGAACTAGGCCATGAAGATACTTCTGAAGTACAATTGGAAAATGATAGTAATTGCAAAAAGAACAATATAGTTCTTAATTCATCTAAAACTGATCACAATGTACCAAAACATCGCTGTATATTATGTAACAGAGAATTTGTTGGTGGTCATATTGTGAGGCATGCCCAGGCTCATCAGAAAAAGGGCAGTTTCTCATGTGTAATGTGTTATAGAAAATTCAGACAAAAAGGTATAATGCTTAAGCACTTAAAGAATCACATAAAGAAAATGACACTGCATCATCTGACTGCTACTTCTGTTGATAAAGAAACTCTTATTGTAAATGAAGTGAACTGTTCTAGTGCTGATGTCTCCCTTCAAAATGGGGACTTGGAGAGTACTAAAGAAAATGAAGTGGAGCTAGTCATTCCAAGTACTAATCAGGAGATGCAGAATTCTGAACTTGCACTGGATATAACCAAAAATCATGTTAGTAGCCAGGATGATGTTATTGAAAATGGTAGTTGTGATAACAATTCAAATAATATTTCTGAGGCAGAAATTAAAGAAGGATCACCAGAAAACAGCCTGAATAGAGAACTCCCTATACTTCCAAAGGTAAATGGTGTGCTCTGTCCTCAAAATGATGTGGATCACACAAGTAATTTCAAGTGTCCTGCAGATGGATGTATTAGAGTCTTTAAAAAAATACGGTTTCTGAATAAGCATGCGCGTAAGGCCCATCCCTCTGATCTGAATGTGCAAGAGCATATAATGAAATCGAATAATGGAAAATGTAGGTTTTGTCAGAGAAAATTTGTGGATTCTCATCATTTTATTGATCATTTGAATCAACATGTTTATCCAAATGTATATTTCTGTTTGCATTTTAACTGTAATCAGAGATTTAAGCTGTCCACTGAGCTTGCAGAACATATGAAAAGTCATATTGAGTTTAAAGCTCAGTGTAATTTTGCAGAGTGCTGTAAACTTTTTGATGACATTTCGTTGTTATATGAGCATGAAGCTCAACATTACTTAAACAAAGCAAATCCTTCTGAAGTCAGTGAAAATAATTCTTCAGTTGTTTTGGAATCTGAGTGTGCTATTCAAGAAATAGCAGATGATGGTGGTGAAAAAGAGGCTGTAATGGACTTGCCAATTCCCACTTGGAAAGCAAGAAAAGATTCCCTAGAACCAAAGACTTATATCCAGACTGAGAAAAAAGTAAATAATCTAATCCAGAATGGGAATGAAAATGCATATGGTAGTGCTGTCACAATTGTGAACTTAATAGACCAAAAGATACCTGAAGTAGAGCCAAATTTAGAAAGCTGTACACTTAATGATCAGCTAGTTGTTAATGGGCATGATGAACTGGAACAAACAACAGCCACACTGGATGTTGATTTGGAAAGAACGAGTGCCAGTACTAGGACAGAAAATGGATCTATTCTACCTGTTCTGCAGAACTGTACAGATATATCAGATAATACTCTCGTGGATTCTCAGACACTTTCTAAACCAAATCAGATAACAGAAAATACATCATACGGCTTAATTTTAACAAGGCCTTACATTAGACCATTGCCTCCGAGTTACCTTGATGAACGATATATAAGCATGCCAAAACGAAGAAAAACTTTGACTGATAAAGCAGGTGCACATTCAGAGCAAGGCAAAACATGTAGCAAATCAGAGAGACTAAGATGCAGCAAATGTTTGACCACCTACTGTAACTCAGAAGCACTTCAGCGTCATCTTGCACAAAAGAAGTGTCGGACACTTTTTGGATTCGATTCAGATGATGAAAGTAAGTTTTACAATTTTACTAGATATAATTTTAGGTGTTTGTATAATGATAAGATGTTAAACAAGATTTAAACAAATGGATAGAAACATAGTTAGACAAAGGATTCTAAAAAAATAGGGTGAAAAAATGTAATAAAATTATATTATATATAATGGTAAATAGTAGCATCTAGTGTTGTCTTAGCCCATTAGTATTATGGAAAAGTATTATGTTACAGGAAATAGAATTTCAGCTAGTTTTGACAGCACTTACTGTGCAACATTGCTGAAATCATTACTTGACCAGGTAAAATTATGAAACGTACTCTACACTGTTTCAGTGTTTTCATGAAGTCTTCAGGAGAAAGTGGTAATTAGCTAACATTTTATATTCTCTAAACAAACAGTTTATTTGACCTCACTTTTGTTTAGGAAAAATAAATGACTGAATCTCAGTATGATACTAGACTCCAAAGGACTCAACTTAATCTCTTTTTTGGCAGGTGCCTGAGCAAATGATGTATGAAGACTCCATTTGAGGAGTAGTGATGGAACACTACAATATTCTGCATCAACCTGCTTTTCCCTTCTTGGCCTTAATTATAAAGAAGTCTCTAAAATTAAAGAAAATCATGACCTTTCTGAGAATTAAAGCACACGGGTCACAACTAAGTGATAGTAGGAGCTGTGCAGTATTAGCATCCAGAAAACAAGCAAACTGTGTTTAAACCTCCAAAGTACCAGTTATCTAAAAGCCACAAGTTTTTGCATAGTTCTACTCTTAAGTAAATTCACTGGGTGGCTGTATACAGAGTAGGTTTCATGCTGACTGAAAACAATTGTTCCAGAGAAAAATGCCTGTGGGACATGCCTCATTTTGAATTTGTATGTTCAAAGGAAGCCATTCTGTATGATAAAACTAGTTTGAGTCACATTCAATGTTGCTGTGCATTAAAATTGGATCAATTAAAAATAGATCCATTTATAGAGGTTGACTCTTCTTGCAATGGTATATTTTGTACCCTGGAAATGGAACCTATGAATGTAAGAAATAATCAGTGCTGGGCAGTGTATCTTAATAAATGTTTTAAGGCATACAATCAGGGCTAAAGTATGTCTTTGATATTTCCAAATTCACCTAATTAAACTGCATTCAAATACACCAAAGTTTTTCAAGACCTGATCATGATGAATGCATGGATAGAGTTCACTCCTAACAAGAGCTAGCAAATCCACACAGCTACAATATTTGGTATCAAAAAGCAGTTTTAGGCTCAATAGTAAATTCATATGGTTAGAATTTAACTGAATTCAGCTGGTGTATAAATTTTAAGCATAAACTTTTTAAGTTTTGCACGAGTTGTTAAAATTTACTTTTGTATTTAAAATGAATTAAAAAGGGTCACACTTGATTTAAATTTACATTAGGACACTATGAATATAATTTTATATTCATATTGTATCAACGTTGAAAAGTTGCACTGAATTTTCTTTATGAAACAATTGCATTCTTAAGAAACCTATACAAATGCTATCATGACAGTGCATGCTATGCAAATAATTCAGAGGTAATTTGAACATAGAATCTGTTATTTTAAGCAGTCCTCTGTCAGACTTCTATGCAAGTATAATACAGTGAGTTCAAAGCATTTCTGAATAATTTTTGAAGTGGGCATACATCTAAAATCCCATGACAAACTTAATCAGTAAAAATAAATTGCTTTAGTAATGAGTGCCAGTAAAATTATTTGCACTGTGCCTTGAAAAATTAAGCTTTAAACCAGTGGTGGTATGCTACCGGTTCGGCCCGGTTCAGCTGAACCTGTAGTAAAAAAAAGCCTCCCATGATCAGCTAAGGAGGAAAAAAAGCCTTCAACAATCAGCTAAAAGGAAAAAGAAAAGCGCAGGATCTACCCTCTTACCCGCCCCTTCGCTTTTCTCTTCTTTATCCTCTCAGCTGATATGTGGAAAGTTTCACGTGTGTTAGGTGTGTGTGTGTGTTAGGTGCGTGTGCTAGGTGCATGTGCGAGATCACCAAACCGTAGTGGAACAGGTAGGATCCCACTGCTGCTTTAAACCCCTTATTCTTAAAATAGTACATATAAAAGCAGAGTATTCTAATCCCAAAATATCCAAGATACCCCTTTCTTTAAAAACAATGGTGTACAAATATTTATTATGAAAAATAACTTTTGTAATAAACATTAAGATCTTTCTTGCAGATCACTGGGGTTTGAAAATATTTGCAAAGGGATTACAATTTTTTTTAAAAATGGAAACGTTATTTGATCTATTGAACTATATTTTCAATGCAATCCTACACATTTCTACTCCAAAGTCAGTCCCATTGAGTTTAATGGTACTTACTCTCAGGTAAGTGAGTAGATTTTTTTAAAAAAATCATATTTTATTCATAAAGACTAAGGACATTTTTTTCTCAAGAAACAAGTATGAAACTTTGAACACAGATACACTTAAAATATAATTATATTTCTAACCACTTTTAGGTCAGTCCTGATATCTAGGCACCAAATGATATTTTTAATTAACTACACAGGTGAAGCTGTGCTTGACTATGCTAAATATCAAAGGCTACTATTGAAGCAATTCGAATTATAACACAAACAGACCTTTTTCAATTTACTTTTGTAAGTCATGCAAGATTGCACAAATATGGTACCTAAGTTATCTACTTTTGAGATAATTAAAATCCAAAAACATATATTTTGTAATATATTTGTACATCTTACTATATAGGAGATTTTATTAAAATATTTTAATACTTTATATTATTAAATGGGAGTTATTTGCAAATCTCAGTCTTCAATTGTGTCTTAATTGGAGTTTATTTAATTTGGTCAGATTAGAGAATAGGTTTTCCTTGTACAGGAGTCCTAAAATTAGCAATTTAAAATGACAGCATGTTTTAATATATCAATATATGAAACTCAGTTTTTTCAAAAAATAAAGTATTGATTTTCTGGGACCTCAGAATGAATTAGTAGTTTTAGTGTTTCATTTCTTAATCTGCATTAGGGGTGATGATATTTTAAAGATAACATTGTGCTAAGCTTGACTTCTAGTTATTACATAGGCACAGCTGTGCAGTTTGCATAATGATAATATAAAATGATTTGCTATTATTTTATTCCATGTTTTTTGACTAGCTGAACCTGTTATTTCCTATGGATCTGTCATCCAGGTTATAATCTAAAGCCCAAGTAAGGTGTGCCTGATACTGACACTTGCTGAGATGGATAATTAGTGCTGTGGGTATGAATCGGTAGCTATACTTCAGTATTCCCTAAACTGGGTTTTAATTTTCTAGATATGAAAAATATTCATTTTTCCACCAACTTTAGTTTCAGTAACTTTCTGCACTCTTAATTTACAGGCATCTAGGTATCCAGACTTATATCCAGGATATATAAGCTTTTCCTCAGGAAAACATTCCATTTCAAATTAATTCCAAATTATGTAACATCATAAATGTTTAGTATAAAACTGAAAGGGAAGATTAACCTTCTGCAAAATGTTCAGTTGTCCACTTGCTATGTTAGCAGTTTTAATCAAAAATAGTTGATTTGTTGTGCTTTACTACCAAACACTTAGGAGAAATTATACAAATGGTAACATTGCTAGGACACCTGTCTTTCAGTATTGGCTTGTCAGCTAATATCAATTGCTGTTAAACACTATGAGTTAGTAATTAAATTAGTGAGCCTAACTCCATAATTCTAAAATACACACTTTTGGAAAATATGTTGACTGCCCTTTTGTAAGTGATTACTATTTTGACTTTCCACAAGCTTTTAAAACAGGATAGGGATGTTTGTTTTTCGCCAGAAGAATTACATGAGTGACTTCAACCAATTACATGAGTGACTTGTTTGTCATGGGCAAGTTTTCATTATTGCAGGAAATAATGTTTTTTTTTTCTAGTTAACTTAGAATTGGCATTGATATAGCAAAAGTGGTATTTCTTAAATGGCTTGTGTAATGCCCCCTTATCTCCTGTCTGAATGAGAAATAAAAAGTCAGCAGTAATCATTATGAAGTGCTTAGGATCCAGTTGAAAATGTGCTAGGGTTCCCTTGCCCCACCTAGAAAAATGTAAAAATCCCCAGCCAGAACAAGACTACTGCTGTATTTAAGTTTATGTCAACTAGTCTGAAAATTAAAGCTTAAAAGTTAAATGATTGTGTTAGTGTTGCCCAATGTTTTTGCCAGCTAATAAACACTTGGTATGCTACTCAGTTAATCTCCCCATCGAGTAAAGAAACTGCATGGCTGACAGTTTTTCTAACTAGATACCAGATATGTAAATAAGACATGTAAAAATAATACTGTACTTATTTCAAGCATCTCCATTAAATCTGACTCAAGCTAGGTACAATTATCATTTTTTCTGTTTTTTAAGGATAACCTCAGATCCTCCACTACCCTAAATATTGGCAGTGGTTCCCAAGTCATAGCCTTTAGAAGACAAACTTGTTTATCTATTTGGTTTGTCACAAGGCATCCTCAGTCATGTAAAAAAGTATTGATCTGCTATCTATAGAAATATCTCTGCCATCTATTTTATAGAAAAAATTGAAATGCTTATCTGTGGGAAAGGTTACTGGTACTTTGGTCTAGCCATATTCAATTAAACATCTAGAAACTCTATAGTTTGAATCATGTAGACAAGATTCAACATTTCTTGTTTAATGCCAAGGTGTAGGGTGGAATACTTTAAAGGGTTGTTGTTGTTGTTTTGCACAGTATAACACCTTGATTACATGCAGTGTGTGTATTTTTGAATTCTTATGTTTAATTTGTAAAAGCAATTACAGATTTAACAAGTGAGGAAATTTGTGCTTCCTTCTTGATGGTTAAATTATTCTGCATTTTATAAGAGTACAAATAAAAACTGAGCCATCAAACTGCAATAAATCAACAGTAGTATTTCATTTAATTTTTTTGTATTGTAAATAGATTTGTTCAATAAAATGTTATTGTTCAATAAAATATTAAAGATATGTCTGGAATTCTGGAAAAAAAACCATTTGATTTTGTTAGTTGCAATATTGCTATACAGCAGCTAGCAAGACATTTCATATATAGCTTTAATATATCCTGAAGCAGGTGACATTTAAATAAGTACTAACTTGCTTGAATGCACAATTTGGTAACATGAAACTGCAGAATATAGAACCCCAAATTTAATATGGGCTGTTAAGGTTTTTATTGGAAACAAAAGTTCTAATTACAACCTGATTTTTAAAAATCCAATAACAATATTGAGCCCAGGAATGGATTTTGAGAACCCAAATTGAACCATGTTTTTGTACTTTGTAAAAATATTTCCTCTGCTTCTGATCAGTGTCTTGAGGTGAGCTTATTTGCTTTTCTCTGAAATCATTGGGAATTAGAGGTCCTTCCTGTGAATCATTAACAAAATTTTCTGTTCAATCATGTTCAGTTCTCAACAGACTCAGAAAGTCCCATCAATTTTTTTGGCAAGGTTTTTCTGAAGTGGTTTTCCTTTGCCTCTTTCCCATGGCTGTGAGAAAGTGAGTGGCCCGAGGTCACCCAGCTGTTTTTGCGCCTAAGAGGGTCCTAGAACTCGCAGTTTCCCAGTTTCTAGCCTGATGCTGCACCAAACTGACTCATTCACAAGATTAATTTGCAACGAAAGAATCTTGTTTTGTTTTCTACTTTGTATCCTGAAGTTCCTTTTCTTAAAAACTAGCCTTACATTGTAACTCATATTTGGGATATTATACATTACCAAAGCGTGTGCGTAGTACCCATTTAGTCCCGTCATTAAGTGTATTTGGGGAAAAATATGTTTGTAACAATTTTGTTTTTGATATGACATTGCAAAATTTAACTTGGAAATATCTTTAGAGATGGCATCACTCTCTTGTTTTTTTTAATGAATCCTCCAATTATTATATCGTATATTTTAATATATATGACATAGTTTTCTGGAAGAATAATCTACAAATAAGTTGTTGTCAAAATAGCTGAACAGAAGATTCTCTTTAAAAAAGTGGAGAGAAATAAACGCGCGCCGGCACGTACTTTTTGTAGATTAATATTGTTTGGACTTTTAAGATCAAATTACAACAGCTACATACAATTACTCGAAAAAATAAAACTAATTGTAAAACAGGAAAGCACAAAATAGAGAAAAGTTTTCTTGTTTTGCAAAACCAGAGCTGGTATTCAAAGGACCATACATCTTGCCGAATAGATGAAGTACTGAAATTAATAATAAAAAACTCCACAAAGATTAATAATAGAACAGCCAGTCCAAGCCACGGAACTATAAAGGTCGCTTCTGTTCCAAGCCGAACAGTTTTCAACTCCGCTCTCCGTGTCGATTTGTCGAATTACGAAAGCAGGGGAGGGGGGGGGGGAGGCGTAAGGCACTACAGGCGGAAGTGGCGTTGTTCAGCCCTGCGTCGCTCTGTTGTCAAGGTTTCAGGCTGCTGCTGCTGCTGCTGTGCGCTGCTGGTCTGGGCTTCCCGTCTCGCGCTCGAAGAAGCAACGCGCCTCCGCCCCCCCCCCATCAACATGGCTTCGGCTGGGGCGGGGATGACCGAGCGCGAGCGGGACGGCTGCCGGGAGCTGTTGGAATTGCTCCAGACCGACGACCTGGTGGCTCTAACTAACACGGTGACCAGCCGCCTTGTGGAAGCCAGCAACCGCCAAGGTATATTAAGCGGCTAGAGAAGGACCTGGCATCCTGATGGGAGTTTGAAGGAGATTTGGGGCGTCCGCTGAAAAATACTTTTTGGCTTGAGGTTCATTAGTTCCAGCCTGGTATTTCCTAATGACCACTTACCAGAATGAGATGTATTCATTTCCTCACCCCTCTTACAGTCCAAGGGGTTCTTCAGCTGTGCCAGAAGTATTTGGGGCCTGCGACATCCTTCCAGCTGCATTCATACAGTGTGGTTTCACTCTCTCCTACTGGCGAGGCACAGGTGTTTTGCCATATAAATCGCCTGTCAGCAGATAACCTGCTTTGAAAATAGCTTGTAAACTGACGCAAGGCCCTGCGACTTCTATTCATCAACGATAATCAAGTTTCTTTAAACATCTTTAAAGAAAGGGTGATGGCGGCACATGATGTGGAACAAATATTTATCAGATATTCAATTTCTGGCTGTTATGGTTAAGGTTAGCCAGAGTAATTTATGGGAAATGTATATATGATTCTCTATTTTTTTGCAGCACTCTTTTCCCACTGTTGTATTTTGGTTACAGTACCCAAATGCCCATATCTTTTTCGAACATGTTTTAAAAGTAACATTTTTCAAACTAATGTTCCTTTTCTCAGTGTGAAAAGAGTTGTAAAAGTATTATATAGGAATTCAAGAATGTAAAGACAATTTATCATTTTGCTAAGGCAGGTTTTTCCTTTTAAAAAATAAGCTGTTTTAATAAAAATCTTACATTGAGAACTATTGCAACTAACATTGCAGCAGTTTTCCCATTCTGGTACAGAAGGGAAAAATTCAACAAAAACATTAGCTGTACATTTGTTTGTTTTTCCTTATGGTCTTCTGATAAAATATTTTACTAATTAAATATGTTAGCAGATACAATTAGTGTATTATTCCAATAGAAAACAATTTATTTGTTCAGATACTATTTATAGATGAATAGGAAAGTAATATGCCCCAGATATAGAGCAAACCATTATGATAAAATCATTTTGTACTGACTCTATTGTTACTTGACTGATGATTTCATACAGCTTTCATAGCAGTAATAGTAGCACATCTACAGCATATTACAGTATATGTTAGTGTTGCTGGTAACAGTAAATAAATAATTTAATATTTAAGTAAATAATTAAATATTTGAAATATTTTAAAATATTTGAGCAATATTAAAAGTGAATGGTGTTCATGATCTTTGAGAACATTATAAATTCTATTTAATATGCTTATGCACATAATTAAAAATGCATCAGTTTTATTCAGTTTTTTTCTTCTGATTGCTAGTCTAAGCAGAAAATTCACTTTCCATTTTATCTTTAGAGTCGAAATAAAGCTTCTTAAAATGTTCTTCTCACATTTAACGATGTGTACTATTGGTCTATATTTCAAAATACACCAAATGAAGTAATAGGTCAATGTTCAAAACAAATATGATTTCCTTGCTACAAGCAAACTTCAGTTTTTAGAAGTTTGAGAAGCTATAACAATAAAGGATCAAAAGTATAAATTTCTAGTAAAGATTCAAAGTAATGTGTAATTTTTAACTAATTTTTTAAAAAGGAATTTAGGAATTATTTCCTAAAAAGGAATTCTATGACTGTCTATATCAGGGGTGTCAAACTCCTAATGTCAAATTGTCACATGACATATTGCAACTTTTCCCCCCTACACGAAATGGGGTGAGTGTGGCCAGCACATGATGAATCCGGCCCACGGGCTGCGAGTTTGACACCCCTGGTCTATATCTTTTTAAATTAAGTCTTATTACAAAACATTCATAATATAGGAAGTTGCTTTATTTGTGTCACATCATTGTCTACCTAAGCCAATATTGTTGCATTAATTGCAAGTGGTTTCCAAAAGGTCCAGTCAAGAGTTTTTCTAGATGGACAAAAAAATGAGCTACAGAATTATGGATTATGAATGGCAGTTTTGTTTCTTGCATTATTGACCAGGTCTTTTGCTAGTGGGGCATTTCATAGGCCAGGGGTAACATATTGCTTTTCTCACTAGGGATGTTGAGACTTGATTACAGAATTTTTTATTTTAGTGGATAAAAGGGTTTTCTACATTTTAGCAAAAATCACAGAAAGCTGATTCTTTAATCCACAATTACTAATAATTATGTTTAACAGATCTTTATAGAATGGCTTTTTCTGTACTATGTCTTTTGCTAACTTTCCCCCCAATATAAAATTCCTGGAGCACCTTCAGCAGCAAAACTGCAATCTTTATGTTACATATTTATAATTCAGAAATATATTTTCAGAATTTTAGATTTACAATTAAATTGCTAGTTTTCTTTTGCAATAAAATTGACTTTAGGTAATATATCTATTTCTGAATTTGTTTATAGAAGCCATAAATGTCATCTTGCTGTACAGTCAAAGTGCTGAAGAGCTGTTGAAAAGAAAGAAAGTATTTCGAGAGATAATCTTCAAGTACTTGGCAACAAAAGGAGTTATAGTGCCACCTTCTTCTGAAAAACACCAGCTTGTTTATCGTGTAAAGGAGTACTGGTGTGAAGGGCTGAATGTCTGTGCATCAGAGCAAACATATATTAATCCTAGTATACAGGTGAGGTACATAAATAATATTAGGAAATGCCAAAAATATTTTTACAATTATATTTAATTATTGAAAAAATAATACACTTAAACTGCTCTTCAGTAGATTTGCAAAGAACATTTGTGATTTCTTTTTTATTCATTGCTTGGAGTTCATTTACTTCATCTCTCGGTTGGCAGAGAGGTCTTGGGAGACTTCAGTCTGCCTTTCATGGGAGTTGGTTCTGAGGTGACCCAAGAGTTCATAGTCACCAGAACAGCCAAAAAAACATCCAGAGTCTGACATTAGACAGTGGTCACACATGGATCTCGTATTTCTTTTGGAGCAGTGACTGTGTGATCTGAAATTGGGGAAGCTTTGGTGTCCTCTTATGGTAATATCACACCCTGATTACCATGGGATTCTCTGACACTGCCATCCACTGCAAAGAAGTTAGATCCATTAGATTAGTCTATGCCTGGCAACTGATGGACCTTGATGAGTTTTAGAGGGATCTGTGGGTTGTTCCTGCTACTCTGCTGTATGATCCATCTGAAGACATGGCAACCGCTTGGAATAAGAGGGCAACTGATGTCTTGATCTGATTTTGGGAATGCAACCTCTAACATCTTGTGGATCCTGACACTCACTGTAGTTCATGGAGGAGTTAAGGGGATTGAAATGAAAGAAGAGACATTTAAAGTGTTGCTGGCATTCTATAAGAATGAACTTGATGAAGGTTAGAGTATGGAAGACATACCTTGTGGTGGTAAGAGCAGCAAAGCATCAGTACTTCTCCAGTACTTCTATTGTGTCCCCGATAGCCATCTTGCTCTTTTGGGTAACACATGGCCTCATGCAGAAGAATTTGTTCAATATCTATTATATAAATTCACTTGAATGCGTTGAGAGTTGAATACTGGCCTTGTTGCAAGTATGAAGAGATACCTGGGCAGGAATCTTTCCTGGTTACCTGGGAACTGTTTGAGCCTATTGAATTGACTAAGTGTACATAGTCCTTAGGACTCTGAGCTCAGCCACCAGCTCTTTAAATCCATACCCCTGTTGGCTGGTTAAGGGACCTGGAAGATGTTGTGTAAGTGGATTCTAGTGGTTATTTGATTGAGGGGATTGTTCCATTACCTCTTTAAAAACCATGGTTTGCTCACTTCTCAAGAAGTCTTTGCTGGACCTGATTATATTGGAGAATTTTCTTCCGGTATTGAACCTTCCCTTTTTTGAGAATGTGATTGAGAAAGTGGTTGTGCAATAATTTCAGAAGGCCCTAGATAAATTGGATTATCGATCTATTTCCATCAGACCCAAATGGCATTTGTTGCATTTTTGAACAATCTGGCATGAGCAGGATGAGTTTTGCTGATTTTCTGGCTGTTTTCAATACCATCAATCATGATATCCTTCTGGATCAACTCAGAGGGTTGGGAATAGGTATTGTGCATTTGCCTCTTTTCTTTGGGGGCAATTCCAGTTGGTGATAGGGGAAGAAATCACATCCTCAGTCCTTATTGTGTGGGGTGCTGCTGGGTGAGCTCATCTGTTGCCGGGGGTGAGGTATCATCAGTATGCTGATGATATATAATTATACATCTCTGTTTTTGGTGAACTAGACAATTTTGTGAGTGGCTTTTGCTGCCTAGAGACTGTGGGTCTTGATGGGTAATAACAGGCTTCAATTGAACCCTTTCAAGTCTGAATGGCTTTGGGTTTTGGGGTCACCAGTTCTAGAACTGTCCCATATTTGGTGCTGGATGAGGTTGCACTGCCCCACACAAACCCTATGTGCAATCTGGGAGTTCCCTTAGAATTACAATGACTGTAGCAGCTGTGATCATGACTTGGAGAGCCTTTATTCAACTTTATTGTGCATCAGTTGTTCCCATTCCTAGATCAAGTAGCTTTACTCATAATCACCTCCTGGTTGGACTACTGTACTGTGCTTTATGATTTACATAGGCTTGCTCCTGAAGAGTATCTATAATGGGTAGTTATGCTATTGGTTTGAACTCCGAGTTTGGCAATTTGGTTGCAAACATTTTGAGATATTGTCAGTGTGTTTTGAATTGATGAAATATTTGCAACCAAATTGCCAAGCTCAGAGCTCAAACCAATAACCTAACTACCAACACAAGTATTAATATTCAAACACATTTCAATGGATAGTTATGCATGGTTTCAGAATAAGACATTACGTTTTTGCTCCATTGGTCTGTTTCTGAGTTCAAGATGCTGTTTTTGACCTTTAAAGTTCTACACATAGCATGAAATCACACTTTTTGAGGGGCCATCTCTCTCCAATTATATCTACTTATCATACCAGATCCATCAGAGAGGTCATGTTGTGGCTCCCATCAGCTGGTGAATTTCATTTGGTGGGTCCTAGGCAGCAGGCTATTTCTGTTGTGGCTTCTGCTTCATTGAACATCCTTCCCACTGAAGTGACACTAGCTTCATCTTTTTTAATGTTTCTGAAGTCTCTTATGACCTGATTGTGTCATTGGGCAGGAAGACCCCAGGGGACTAGCAAAATATTATGATGACTCCAGTGGAATTAACATCTGTTCTCCACCTAATGTTCTTTAAAAATTTTGTTTTAGTTATATAACTTTCATGATTTTAATTTTATAGTTTTTAATAATATTAGTGTATGTTATTTTCAACTTTGTTGTATGCCACCCAAAGTCACTGATTTGTGACAGTCATATAAATATGACAAATAAATAAAATTGTTCACTCATTTTATTTTTATTATTATTGTATCCTACTTAAATGAAATTTAAAAATGTTAAAAACAAAATAAAACCCTTTTCTTTGTACCTGCTTGTTTTATTAGTTTCTAATAACTATCTTTTCAACTATAGAACAAGTAGGATTATCATATAAAGTTGTATATTTTATATGTAATTCTAAAAAGGTGAAACACATTCTTTTCCTGCCTTGATATTGACCTTTAAAGCCCTGCATGGCATGCCTTGATATATCACACACACACACACACACACACACACACACACACACACACACACACACTATAAAATGTCACTATTAGTAATTAAGAGATTAAAAATAAAAATATTCAGGTTCTTCAAATAAATAAGAATATACATAACTCACAATATCCTTCAATTAATCATTCACATTCACTCCATAAAATTCACTATTGTTCTCTTATTTAATTCTAAATTTTCATATATAAGATTTTTTAAATTGTATTAAAAAGGCACTGAATCTTAATAACTTGTCTATATATTTTAGAGATATATTTCATAATACATTTTACTGTGGCCTTAATAATTTGAAAGTGGTAGATGTAGAAAATGTTTGTTTCCTCAGTTATAACTCACTAGGTTTAGGTATGAAAAACTGTATTTTGCCTTATTAAAATCACTGCTTTTTCTTGGATAGTCATGTTGAATATTAAAAGATTAAACAGTTTTAAAGTAGAATCTTTCCAAACTTCTTCTTTTTTTGTCAGAAGTCATAAACATTGACTTCTATGATAGAATTAATTTGAAAAAATTGACAAGTTTTATCATTTTATGTAATATAAGTAACAGTGATGGGCAGCAAACATTCTATGAAATCATTCACAATTATCCTTAAACCATTTTTTAACAAACATGTTTGAAACCTTTTATGAAGTAATTTGCAGTGTATCACACTCTAAATAGAACCAGAAACAAATTGTAAAAAGAAATATAAATTCTCCATTTGTTCTATAAAATGGCTTCAAATAAATTATTATCCAGGCCCTTAGGTAATCCATAAATAAAGCATGTACATTCATAGATACTATTTCAAAGCAAGGACCATTTTCCTGTTACTGTTTCTTTCCACTTTCTCTGAATTTTTTAGGATTTGTCTAATTATTTCTTGTTATTTTATAAAGTAAAAGTTATTATTCTATTCTACTTTATGTTTCTTATTTTTCAGCAACAAGAAGATGGAGGAACACGAGGAGATCAAGATGACAACAACGAGTGTCACAATCTGGCAGAAGAATTTTGTCAGTGGTATTTTAGAATGCTAAACTCTCAGAACCCATTGATTGGAGAACCACAACAAGAATGGGGACCACAACATTTTTGGGATGATGTAACTCTAAAATTTTGTTACAACACCTCTGAACAAAACATGGAAGAGTACTCAGGTGCAGAATTGGTGAGCCTTCGCTTGCTGTCATTAGTGAAAGAAGAATACCTCTTCCTGAATCCCAACTTGAATGCAGGTGGCCTGAAGTGTACAGTTTCACGACATGGATTAGTTGTGGTAGCAATAGCTGGCACAGTTCATAGAAGTACTTCTTGTTTGGGAATCTTTGAACAAATCTTTGGCCTCATCTGCTGCCCGTTGAGGGACAATACGTGGAAAATCAAGTTTGTCAATTTAAAGATTGTTGGCCAGAATGCCATAGAGCCTGGGACCCATATAGAAAGACCACACATAAAATACGAGCAAGAAGAACTGCAGGAATTTTGTGTGTCCAAGGAACTTGCCTTGATTGACCCTCAAAAATACTGAGTGTTCTGTTTGCAAAATGAAGGAGAAAAGTATGTGGGCCTTGGAAAATACAGCAGGAGAGCATATTCAAAGTATTCAGTAATTTATTTGCTGTTTTTTTATTCATGCTTTCCTACTATGAGATAATCCTGACTACTGATCATAGAGATTTGCTGCTGGTAATTGTTGGCTTGGCTCTTGCCCCCAAATTTAGAATTTGAAAAATTACTTTGGCAGATTATTTTCTAAATGAGAAGGGAGAGAAAGTGAGAAGACACTCCTACTTTCCTGTCAACTGCTGCAAATTATTGATATAGAGGATGGGTGGGAGTGAATAGCCAGAAAGAATCAAGTATATATGAGAAGCATAAAGCACTGGAGATATAATATTGTCATCTTGACTGCTTGTAGCTTCCCTTTTCCCTTTGGGGTAAAAAAATACAGAAGTGTGATAAGTTTGTAAGAGTTTCTTTTTCCAAAGGCTTAATTTTAACTCTTAGTTAAATAACTTTCACAGTTTAATCTCAGGGTTGTACAAAACAAATAATTTTTGATTTTTGATAGAATTTATTAAATATTATTAAAATGATTGTTACTTAAATCAGTATATGAATGAAAGGCTAGTGCCAAATTTAATAGCGGATTTTCATGGGGAATTTATGAAACAATGTAACTTTCCTCCATAAAATGCTTTGAAATTTATCTTATTTGTTATGTACAACCCTTATTAATGTAGCTATTTACCTATAACAAACATACTTTTAAAAATACAGGACAATTGTGAAATTATAAAAAAAAACAAGCAATTTGTGGCAATTATTATATCTGGTTTATTTCACTTACACTACTTTTTATTGTTCCTAATAAAAATTGCAATCTTCAGACTAATTATAAAAAGACAATATTTTTACTACTTCAGATAATTGTGAAAGAATCAATTCGTACTACTACTACTTATTACTTTTATTGTAGAAAAACCAACAGTGAACAACATAAAGCTAGCTACCAGGTTTTGAACAATTTGTTTATGAATCCTTAAAAGTAAAAATCAAATATGTGATGTTATTATAGAATGTAAAATAACATTTTATTTTGTTTTTGGGTTTCCTGAGTGATAAAGATTTAAAAGATATGTGTCATTACAAATAGAGACTTTGTATTTTTGAACAAAGGTATTTAAGTGCATTTCTGCAATATCTACAATCATTTATACATACTGTATATGAGGATTATTGCTAATATAAATGCAATAGCCACTGCTAGTAAATAGTTTTTTTTAATATGAGACAGTTGTTTTTAACAATACTTTGGTCTGAAATCTGGTAGATTTATCTCGTTTGTGTCCAGATAAAATTTGTTACTGCTGGAAACTGAAACTAAAAGTTGTATTTTCCATTATTGCCCCCTTTTTATTTGGATCCTTTTTAAGAGCTTGTACTGACATATTTTTATCATTTCTTTTAAAATCAAAATCACATTGTAAGAGTTGGAAAACTCCTTGAAGTTTATCTAATCCAATTTCATGTCTGGTTCAGGAATCTACTCCTACATTATCTTTGGCAGATATATATCCACATCTTGTTTAAATATTTCCACCTAAAGAAAGTCTTATCATCTTCCAATTATTACCATTACAAAATTGTTTCTGATATCCAATAAAAATCTATTTCTCTATAATTTAAGTAAATTGCTTGTTGCCTTGTGGGCATGTTGGTCAATGTCCTTGTTAAAATATGATGCTCAGAAATACTCAGTACTCTAGTCATCAACACCAACAGAGCAACAATTATAGATCTTAATCTTGATACTGTACTTATATCAATAAGCCTGTGGTTGTATTTGTATTTACAGCTGTATCACTGTTGTCTCATATTATAGGAAGATAAAGACATTGCACATTCTCTTATTTTTCCTTCCAGCAACTCTGTGGTATAGGCTGGATAGAATTTGTCCCAAATCATCTGGTAAACATCGGTGGATGAGGGTGGACAAATCTGGATCCACTGGTGCTAGTCTAGTACCTAACCTCTACATCAGTTTTTCAACCCTTTCTGGGTTTCAACCCTTTCTTTCACAGATTATACCACTTTTAAGATATGGCAATACTTGAGTACCATCAGTCGCTTAGCAAAGCGTCAAAAACTTGATGCCTAAAAAAAAAAGGAAAAAAGTGATAAAGTACAGATAGTCTTTGACTTACAATAGTTTGTGTAGTGACTGTTACAACGGCACTGAAAAAAGTGACTTATAATCATTTTTTACACTTACGACTGCAACATCCCCAGGGTAATGTGATTTATATGCGGATGCTTGGCAACTGATTCATATTTATGATGGTCGTAGTATTTCAGAGTCATGTGATTCTCTTTTGCAACCTTCTGACAAGTAAAGTCAATGGGGAAACCAGATTCATATAACCATGCTACTAATTTAACAATTGCAATGATTCACTTAACTAATGTGGCAAGAAAAGTCGTAAAATGGGACAAAATGATTTAACAAATTTCTCACTTAGCAAGGTAAATTTTGGGCTCAGTTGTGGTCGTAGGTTGAGGACTATGTACACCCACCTACCACACTTTTAATGGAAACTGACATTAGTCTTTGCACTATTCTATGCCCTTTTCTTCCTCTGCTTGTCTCAAAGAAGCCTCTTCTCTTGTCTCTCCATCCCCTTCTCTTTTCCCATTGCCCTTTTTTCCTTTCCCTTTCGCCCCCAAACCTTTTATATCCTCTCTACCCCCTCCTTTTCGGTACAGCTCCAGCTGACTCCGCTCCCCAAGGCTGCACACTGCCCCTGGAAAAGCTGATCAGCTAGAGCTGTGTGCGCCGATCCTGGGCTTAGCAGAGTCCTGTCAACACCACAGCTCCAGCTAACTCTCCCACTGGCATGTGTAGCACTGCCACCACTTCAACTCATCCCCCCCACTACACTTTTACACCTTTTTTTGGTTACACTTTAAAAAAACGTTTGCAACCTGTCGTATGCGTATCTCCTGCCAGGTGGTGAAGTATCACCAGTGGTATGCGTACCACGGGTTGAAAAGCACTGCTCTACACCATACTAACTCTCAAATTTGTAATTTGAAATTTCGTAAGGAAATTATATTCATGTTGCTGAAATATTCCCCATTGGTCTAGTTTAGATCTTCCTGAATCTTGGGATAGTCCTTGGAGATCTTTGCTGTTCCATCACTACTCCCATTTTTTTTTTTTGATACATACTTGTTGAGTAAAGCATGATTGTACCATCTGCTATTTCTCTAACAGCATTGCAGACCAGCTCATATTTTCTTCTCTATTAAGATGTGGAAGACTTTGCCAAATGTGTTGAAATCAAGGCACACTATATTCACCACATAAGCGTGGTTTACTAAACCACTCTACCAAAAAAGATCAGATTTGTTCAGCATGACAGTTTGAATAAGCTTGGTTCTGTCAAATAATGCATAGTTAAAAATAATCTGTTCCAAAGTTTTACTAGATAGCATCAATTTTGTCAAATTATGTGAGTTCACTCCATCAACAGCTTTTTGAAGTGAAGAGCTATGAAATGACATCTGCATACTTCTTCAAGACTGATGTAACTGAGTTGGTTCTCTAGAAATTCATTCATGGTAGCTCAGTGCTTCCATAACTACTCAGCTTGCATTGGCAGTTCCTCTTATTATAAATTCTTCTGCTTAAGTCCACTTAGGCCCAGTTGCCATCTGTTCTCAAACTAGAATTCAAGAACACAAATTTCTTCCTATCATCTGTTACCATCCTTTCATCTTATGTTAGGAGCAGGCCCACAATTTGCTTTTTCTCCCATTATTACTGGTACAGTAAAAAGAGATACTTTTTATAGTCTTCAGTTTTTCCTTAAAGCTGTTTTTTGTTTAAGTTTTTCTAATTTGAGAGAGAGAGAGAGAGAGAGAGAGAAGGAGGAGGAGGAGGGGGAGGAGGAGGAGGAACAGCCAACAGAGAGGTTGTGGAGAAAACTGGGGAAGGGTACAGGCCGGCTGGGTATTCAGAGGAAGAACCAGGCCCATCCTCTCTTCATCCTAGGGCACACAGGGAGGAGCGGGGGAGGAAAGGGCCTTGATCCCCTTCATGGGTTGCAGCTGTGAGGACTGTTTAAAAGGACAAACTGTTGAGCCAGTGCTGGAAGCAAAGCGTGAAAATATTTCTAGTTTGTCTGTTCTTATCTGAGTTTTGGCGTCCTTCCCAGAGTGTGTATTTCAATATCTGTGGACATCTTCAAGCCCTTATCTTGCCTTGTCTCAATTGCTTCAGCGTGGTTTGTGTTGTTTTTTCCTATTTATAATTTATATATATTTTGAGTTTGAACGGAAGTTCTTCCTTTTCACACCTGTTTGTGGGGGAGTTTTTTCTCCAGTCAATGATAATTGGACCTTTGAAGACAAGTTGAAGGAATTAAAGGGACTTCACCTGTTTTTGTGACTCTGTTGCTGTTGTATCCCACCCTGGGTCATCACAACTTTTTAGTTCTTAGCTCAGTAGAAAGCTCGCTATATAAATCTACAATAGTATTGTAAGCTGTTCCCCATGTTTTTTTCTTATTTGAATAGTGTACAATAGTATTTCCAATAACTTATTTTTGAGAAATTCCTAACCCACCTGCACTTTCTTTAAAAGGATTTTTGTCCATAAGAACCTACATAATGCCACTCTAAGCCTCTTGTGCCTGGTTCAGAAATTTAGTGTGCTGCATGTATGCTCCTACTCAAAACGAACTTTCTTTAGAATCTGGCAGCCATCACATCATCATTTCCTCCTGAGGTTCCACTGTTTTTACTTAATTAGCTCTTCCCTATTAGTTATCAGGTCTATACAAGGCAATTCTTTTGTCAGTTCTTTAACTTTTGAAAAATGAAACTTTTTGTGACTATGCAGTCTTGGCAGAGTTGGCTTTCCAGATAGTTGAATCTCTCTTCCCTGAAAGTTCTATAATGTAGTACAGAAGGGCAATTACCCATCTTCATCCTGGCTTGATTATCTATAAAGCAGTAATTTCACTGATATTTTTCTCTTCCTTTTATTCTTAGCTGAATGCTCTTTGCTGGACTTTTATGGTCAAATGCCTAGATCTTTACATGAAACGTTTCCTTCACAAATAATGTCAGTTTTGTCAAAGGAGGCCTATTCAGTTTGAATTTGGTATACCTTCCAACTCTTGCATTTTAAGTCATGAATGTCATTCTGGCATTTTTCAGTAATGACTACTAAATTATATTTGCCTTTCTGAAAGGAAGTGTTTAATTCTTGCTGCTTGTTTTCCGTACCCTAAGAATTTATACCAAAACACTGCAAATATTGGGTCATGTAACTTGATATATTGTTTCCCACATATGCATGCTCATTATTGGGTGCCTCCACTACCTGTATATTACTATTAGTCTTCTCCCCAACACTTATGATCCCATTATTTTCTGGGCTATCTCCTCTCTCTCGTCAGGTAAGTTTGCCAGGTTCTCCCTAATCTTTTTTTTTTTGTACAGGTAGTCCTTGACTTTATGACCACAATTGAACCCAAAATTTATGTTGCTAAGTGAGATGGTTGTTAAGTGAGTTTTTCCCCATATTACAACCTTTCTTGCCACAATTCTTAAGTAAATCACTACAGTTGTTAAATTAGTAACATGGTTGTTAAGTGAATCTGGTTTACCCATGACTTTTCAAGAAGGTCACAAAAAGTGTTCACATGACCTCAAGAAACAGCAACCATTGTAAATGTGAGTCAGTTGCCAAGCATCTGAATTTAGATCATGTGACCACAAGGATGCTGCAAGGTCTTAAGTTTGAAAAATGGTCATAAGTTACTTTTTTCAGTCTCACTATAATTTTAACTGCCACTAAATAAACTCTTGTAAGTTGGGGACTACCTGTGTTTCCTAATCTGCATGAGATGCAGTTGTTCTCTTTCTGGGAGCCTCTCATAAAAACCCCCCACTAGCATTCAGAGGATCCAGACCATTTGCACTGGCACTATCTGCATGCCAACTTTTTTTCTTGCAGTATTTGCTCACTTCTTGGGCTCTGTGCTGACCTAATATAGGCTGCTTGCGTAAAAACAAAAGGCAAAATATATTTGCAAAAGTGCACGAATCAATTACTCAGTTGAAGTAATGGTAGAAAAAGGTTCTACAGTTCTTGCTATGTTTAACCCAAGGGCAACTTTACTTTTTCCTAGTGCGTGATCACTCAAATCTACTAGGCAAATTCCATC